AAAAAAACAAAATCCCCTGTGAGGCCTCAAACCCTCAACTGAACACCAACTGAGCGGTTCCTGCAAACCAGCGAGCTGCCGCTCCAGGTTCCTTCCATGCATTTTTCTGCCATTAGTAAGAAAGCGCTGTGTGTGTAACATGAGCAGAAGAATCTTGCAGTAAAAACACTAAATCCACAACCCACACACACACATACACACACACACACACACACACACATGCACACACACGTTCAGAAAAATACAGCAAGACAGGCACAGCTGCCCTGCTGTATTTGTAAGAAGGTGGGTGAAGGGAGATTGGGTTATTTGAGAGTTTTTAGACACTGTGCAATTACACACACTCATACATTTATCTGTGTGTGTGTGTGTGTGTGTGCGTATGACTCATACCAATTAGCCTGCAAACCTTGGCCACCTCTACATCCTCTCCAGACGAGGCACCAGATATCTAAATTAAAAACTGCGTAACGTGAGAACACAAAAACAGAGGAGGTATCAGGATGGAGGAACTGAGGGATCGAGATGATGATGTTGGTCTGCAACCTGATCTGATGCGTTTTTTGGCCGACAGACAGCTGCAAGTCTCACACATGCAGTGCAGTAGAATGGAGAGAGAATAAACCTGAATGAAGGAGTGTGATTTTCTGCTTGAACTGGATGTAAAAGCAGACTGGAGCAACAATTTCAAACCGCTTAGTCGGCATGTAACATCACATTGGATGGTCACGGCATAGAGGACTGAGCCGTGTGATGTCAGGATGTCAGACTGTATTAAGTGATAATAGATTTTAGTTGAGTTCAGCAGTGTTCATGGACTACGCCTAGCATAAAACCGCAGCGCTTAATACGAGAAAATGTAGAACAGAATCATTTTCCCGAAACAATACTCCTCCTCCTGTTTTGTGTATATTTTCCATTTGTCAGGTTTCATCCCGTGCTTCCATTTTTCTTATTTCAACGTTCATTATGCATCTGCCGCTTGACGAACATAAATCACGCACAAGCTCATTTATTCAAACAAACAGTGTGTCTATGTTTAATATCTTTCTCTGCTTCTCTTTTCCTCTTTGTTCTGCAATTATGGCCAGATGTCAGCCGCTGCGGCCGAGCTCTTAAATCACCACAAATCATCACACCGTGTCACTTATGAAGGGATCTGCGCACACGCGCGCACACACACACACACACACACACACACAAAAATGTGTTGATGAACATTTTCATTAAAAGTTGAAACCGCATTTTCACATTCACGTGCACTAAAAATACACAAACACACACACACAACGCCAAACCGCTTCCTTACGCACGGCTTCCAACCTCCAGACACGCTCCCATTGTCGCCACATCTGGTTTGAACTATAAGTTTTCTATCATTCACTCTTCTGGGAGGAGGGAAACAATTTTAGAATTTCATACAAGAAACTACAAAAGACAGACAGCAGAGACAAAGAAGATCAAGAGAGAGAGAGACAGAGATAGAGAGAGAGTGGGAGGAAGTAATGAGAGCTCTCATGGCCTTCAGTTTTTTGAAGGACATTGATGTTCTTTGAGCAGAAAAAAAAGAAAAAGCTCTCCCAGTTTCACTTTACTGGTGGTCCCATAAATCTGCATACACCTACGTACACATAGCCCTCAGATAAACAATCGCGCGCACACACACACACACACCCACACACACACACACACACACACACACACACACACACAAAGACTATTTACTCATGCAAACATTTGCCAACCTACATACAATAAAAGAGCAAATCTTCTAATTTCCCCTGCCAACAAAAGCCTGCCTTCACAAAAAAAAACCCGCCTCTCCATCACTTCACTGGGCAGCGGTACAGTGGATGTTTTACGGTAATCAAATGCCATTACGTGCGGGGAAAAATGGGGAACTGGGAAAATATTGATTCAAATTAAAGCGCGGCCGGAGAAAAATGAGCCGGCCGACGGAGGGAGGAGGAATGAGATTGAGTGTTAATAGGAAAAAGGTGTTGAAGACACTTTGGGTTAGAAATCGAGAGGGAGAGACAGTAAGACGCAGGTGTGGGCTCATTACTGTGAAGCGGAGCGGCCATAGAATAATTACCGCAGGACCACACAGGAGAGGAGAGGAAGGAGGAGGAGGAGGAGAGAGAGATGGGAGGAGGCAAAGCAAAGCAGCGGAGAGAGAAACACTGCACAGAAAACAAAACCAGCTGATGAACAACACAGCCTATGCACATTGTTCCAGCTATGAAAACACGGCTATCCATGCTAACTGCCCCTCTAAGGAGATGCCGTGCCACGATTCCTGGCTTGAATTACGGGGGGGGGGGGGTCTCTGAAGGTTAACCTGGTGGAGCACAAACTATCTCTGGGTACCGTTTGTGCAACTTGTGCAGAAAATGTAGTGATGTAGCCTCGAGATCATTCTTGTCCAGCATGTGAACTTTGTTACCTTGTCACCGTAACAATTCTTTTAAAGAATTTAATTTTGGGTTTTATGATGACAATTTTGACCGGAATTTGCGCCAGTCCCCTGTCAAAATAAAAGCTCTTTTCTACAATTTTAAGTAAACCATTTAACACTTTTAGGGTTTCATGCTGAACATTTTTGCTGAGTCTGCGAACAGCAAAAGTGAGAGTGGTTGGTCACCTCTCTGAGATGTGTTCATCTAACAGCTCACTGTGGCTGCTCCTTCTTCTTCCATTACTCCCTGCGACATTTCAAACTGACCCGCTGTCACAGAAAGGCTGCCGTCTTGTTTTTGCAGACGCATTTTTGATGTAAGACATCGGTCAAAGAAGAAATCTTTGAGAATGAAAATATTCCTTATTTTGCATGGTAAGGTGCTGATTCTCAGCGTCCAATGAGAACGCAGATGATAAAATTTCTGCTTTGCTCATGTGGGTTCACCCAATCCATTGTTTCTGAAGCATCTGTGTGCGCACACATGAAAGTGAATGAAAGGGACGGTGAATGAGAGAGGGAGAGAGGGGGAGAGAGAGAGGGAGACAGAGAGAGAGAGAGGGAGAGAGAGAGAGAGAGAGAGACAGAGACAGAGACAGAGAGAGCAGCTGTCTGTCTGGATGACCTCAGCAGCAGCTGCTGCCCCCCCGCCCTGCTGCCCTCTGTATGCCAGCTCGTCTTTGAAGTCCGAGTCCAGACCGATACAGCTTTGAATCACTACCGATAATCATTACTGCAGAATAAAAGTGCATCAATCACTGCCAACTAGGATATAAAATGTGTTCATGCAACTACAAATGGAAACTTGACAGAAAGAGAAAATGTTCTTTTATGGATGTTCCATTAATGTTGTTTAAGCAACAGCAATATCTTTAATACTACTAATTTAGACTTGTATTGGTAATCCCAAACATCATTCTGTTTTCTACCAGCTGTTCTTCTTTTAAGATTCGCACTTTGTTACAAAAATGTTCTTCACGATCATTTAAAATACAGTAACTATCGGCCGGTGATATCTGTATCAGAGCATTTCACTCAAGGCCGTCTTTGAAGTGCCGACGGTGGGCAGAGTTTAGTCAGACTCTCTGGAACGCTGGAACCTGACACACACACCACACACACACACACACACACACACACACACACACACACTGCGGCATGTAGACAAACACATGGAATGATACACACACACATGGAGGGGTGTAGAGACACTGTAGCACTCAGACACACACTGACACACTTGTCTTCCCTCCAGGTATTTTGTTTACATGAATAGGAGTTGAGGGAAGCAGCTATTTGAGTCCCAGTATAGAAAGAAACACACCTGTATTTGAGCAGGAGAGTCCATAGGGTCACAGCCCACAGCCTCAGCTAACAAGTGTTTGTCTTGATGACGATCAACCGCCTTTTTTAAGACACGCAAAAGCTTCAAAATTCACAAGAGGGATATTTACTGCATATTTAGAGTCGTAGAACTAAACGCTTGTGTTAAACACAGACCTTACATTGACTTCCACTCTATACACACTTTGACTCTGCACTCTATACACACCCAGAGATACTGACAACTGACTCAGCTTTCTGAAGGCGAAGTTGGAAAATGATTATGTAGAAAAAAAAAGATAACAATGTGTCTTTTATAGTTTGGGACAGGCACACAGACTTGACATTTCATACTACACTAACACAATGTCCTACACACAAACAAAAGCATCTTCTTTAACAAATGCCTCGTTCATAACCATACAGGTACGCACAAACACAACACTGTGGTCTCACACACACACACACACACACACCGAGCATAAAAACTCAGACAAAAGCCGTGCTTCCCGTGTGGGGAACTACACAGACCTCATTACTGTATAATGGCCCCACCAACCCAAGCTGGCTAATTATGTCCTAGAAACTCACACAGCAGAGTCAAAGGAAGCAAGCAAGCATGTAAAAAGTAAAGAAAGACAGAACGAAAGACTGAAGTATCATGTGTAATGAAGGAGAGAAGATGTGGGTACAAACTTAAATGAATGGGAAGAAAGCGAGACAATGTTGAGAGAAATAAAAGAGCAAAGTCTTCATCGTACAAACACACATAAACACACATAAACACACATAAACACACTGCTTCTACAAAAGACTCAAGTCCTCCTCCGAATCAAGTTCTACGTGTGACTGATGTAGATTTACTAAGTGTACTTTGTTGATTTATCTAAATATTACACAGCACATGAAAAACAAATCAGAGTTGTTTGATAGCTCATAAGTAGTATATCAAGTCTGTGCAGCTGAGCCAAACGTTGTCTCACATCACTACTCACCGATAACGATGAGCGTGTAGTTGATGTTCACGCTGCCGAACCCGTTGGTCGCCTTACAGATGTACGTCCCCGCGTCCTCGGTCTCCACCTCTTTGATGCGCAGCCCGTGCTGCAGCACCCGGAAGCGCGTCCAACCGCTGTGGATGTTGCGGCCGTCTTTGGTCCACATGATGAGCGGCGGGGGGTCGCCCTCCACGGGGCAGGGCAGCTTCATGGTGCGACCCAGACGGATGCTCTGTCGGTGGGCCACCGGCTCCGACACCCTGGGGGGACCTTAAGCGTGGGGGAAGGGAAGGGAAAGTGTATTGAGATTATGAAATCAATAAAGAGCTCCCTCATCAGCCTAGTTACACGAAGCTTAAGAAATCAGATGACAGGAAGTGTAAACAACCAGCTTTCTTGAGTGCATGCAAACCTAAAAATGACGTTTCACATTTGCTCCTCGTTTTTTTTGGAAGAATTAGGCGTGTTACCCGCTTTAGGATCGAGGTTCGGATGCCTATTCTTCATCTCCACCTTTGCAGCTACACACGCTCTCATCCTCACCGCTACTCTCAGAACCAAAGAAGCCTCCAAATATGGCATTTAACACACAGGAATTATCCTTTGACCTTTGAGAGATTTATGATGGCTTGGCTTAACATTGACATTTTATCACAGACAACAATAGAGTCCTCGGGGAGCAAACACAAAGCCGAGCTAATATCAACCGAGATGTCGTGTCGAGACGTAGAATCAGGCGTGACCTTGACCGCTCAGTAGCCGCTCTACTGTGAAACTGCACACTAGAAAAACAGAGGGAGGCGAGCGAGCCGGCTGATTGACTGGGAAAGGTGGGAGGAAATTGTGGGGGTGAGAGAGAAAGAGAGGAAGGAAGGAAGGTAAGAAGAGAAGAAGGGAGGCAACAAGGGAGAGTGGAATTTAAGGGAGTGAGTCTGAGGAGAGAAAGGGGGATGAAATATGGCCGAATAGGGGGAGCAGTACAAAGAAAGACAAACAGGAAGATAGAGAGATGCAAGCAGGAGGAGGTGTGGGAGTCATAGTGTACATCTCTTCTCATTACTCCTCCTGCCTTAAAACAATACGCTCCAAATATAGCAATAACAACACATGACAGGCCACCATGTAGCCAGCAAAGTGTCCTAACACACTACAAAAGCCAATTGTATGGAAACCCATCAGAAAACAACCTCTTCAGGTCACGTCCTGTCGAGTAGGAAAGATTTAAAAGAAGGACAAAGGCTTGATTTTAACAATGTGCCTGATAAAGGCTTATCTAGAAGAATACACACGCTCTGATAAGGATTGGAAACATATCACCTCAAGTATAAACACTTGAGGTGAGTTTCCTTTATTGCCCTTTTTTGTCTGGTGCTTATCACAGGGAACTAACACAGCCTGGTGCCTCTAATGTGCCCTTGTGATAAAAGGGTTCAATAAACAGCTGTAGATTTGTACTGTTTTGTTTTTTAAATCAGCTTTTTGGTTGTTGCTGACGAAGTGTGACAAGGTCTGTTTTGAGTGGAGGCTGTGGTGGATGAATGGGTCAAATGCAACACTTTCACCCAGTTGACCAGAGTTTGTGTCCAGTCAGCGTTTTCAGACTTAGCTGACATCATTTTGAGTTTTTAGGATGTATAATAGCTGAATAAGGCTGGTTGAGGTGCTAGAACGTCAATGCAAAGATGGTGGCGGTCGAAGTCAAACCCCCCCCCCTTCATAAACCAATGGGTGACGTCACGGAGACTACGTCCATATTTCATACAGTGTATGTGAGTCCAAAAAATTTGGACACACACATAATTCATTGCAATCACCATAGCCTTTATTGTTCGCAATTCTTTCGGAGGAACTCGTCAACACGAGCAACAGTAACCACCACGGCTTCACAGAAACATGTGGCTGCCTTCCTAAAAGGGTCTCAAACTCCAGCGAAAGACTTCACATCGTCGGCCAGCTGTCAACCGTCACCGAAAAACAAAACAAGGGCCGTGATTTATTCCTCCGCTGTGCGTCCGTAGATGTCGGAGATGAACACGGTTAAGTGGAGTCGTATACGTGAAGCTGCTTATAATAACAAAAGGAGAACAGTTACAGTAGTCTTCCAGCATTCTTTCTGTCACGACGGGAGAGCAGGAGGTGGACACAATGATGGATGGATGGAGGTGAAATGTGTGAAAAAGACATTAGTCACACAAAGGGTATTCACAGGAGCCTCTCCTCCTCTCTCCATCTTCCTCACTCCTGGACGGGGAATGTGTTCGTTCAGCTGTATGGCTTTCTCATCAGGGGCCAGACAGCTCACTCCTTCTCCTCTCTCTTGCTCTTCCTTTTTAAATACTCTATATCTCCCTCTATTATTCTCCTGTTCTTTCTAAGTCCTGTTTCTTTCTCTCTCTTGGCCGTGTGTCCCACTTTCACTATCTTTTCCTTTCTTTAAATACTGTGTCCCTTCAATGTTGATATTTTTTTCTTTCGCTATATTTATTTCGTCCTCTCTTTTCTTCTTCCAACAGATTGAAATCTCATTCCCTTGAACTCTCACTACTCCCCTGCTACCTCTCTCCTTCTTACCCTTAACCCCTCGCTTCCCATTACTGCCTCCTCTTCTCCCCTGTCACCACTCTTTTCCTCTCTCTCTTTATTTTGCTCTCTTACTCCCTGCTCTCTCACTCTTCTCTTTCATCACACTCATTCACACCATCCTCTTCGCTCAGTGCAGTTTCTCTTCTTCCTCTCTTGTGTGATTTAATGGTCTCCTGCCTTTTTTGGATCTGCACTCACACACTCACACCCACACACACACACACACACACACACACACACACATAACTTCCCCAGTTTCTTCCCCAGAGGATCGCAGGAGCAGGACCTCGAACTGAACCTCTCAACTTTCGACAGTTAACCTCTGTTACGTCTACCTCCCCCCTTTTTCTTCCCTTACTCCCTCTTTCCCCTATATGAAGGGAACACACACCAGCAGCCTCCTCTCCTCACTCCCTCCCTTCCCCATCGCCATCGTCCTCCTCCTCCTCAACGGTCCATGACCGAAGTAAAGTCTTTTTAAATCTGTCTCTAGGGGTGAAACTGAAGAGAGTAAAAAATCGTTTCCTCTCTTTCACGAGACACAAGGTCAGTGTGTGTGTGTGTGTCTTTGCACATGTGTGGGTCATTTTTAGAATATATGTGCTGCTGAATTTTTTGCTATACATTTAGTCAAATAAAGCTAATTAGTTGCATCTTTGTCTGTTCATATACTGTTTAGGAAGTGTCTTCATGTTTGTGTGTCTGCATGTGTGTGTGGGTGAGAAAAGAAAATTGCAGGCCTTTCAACTTTGGTCCGTTTAGTCCATTTGGGGCTTTACGATGCTCCCTCGCCTGCAACAGGCTCCTCGAGACAATCTAAAGCACCTTGAAGATTGTTTGTCGGCCTCCACACACACACACACACACACACACACATAAACACACACCAGGCACACCCTCCCTCTCGTTCTCCTCACATGCAGGGAGTGCGTAGGTAGGTTAAAGGCATGCACGTCTGGCATTCTGGAGCCAAACGGCGGGAAAACAAGGCCTAGGTCAGATCCCACTACTCCCACAGAGGCAGAAACCTTCCAGCTCAGAGCTGCACATCCTCTACAAGGATGGTAGCTGAAGGCCAAACAAAGCAGAGCAGAAATCAGCTCTTACATTCTGTTCTTGTGCTGGCTACTCCCCAAAAACAACTGCAAATGCACTGCTTAAATTCCATTAAAGGGAACGTTTAGTGACATAATGAGGATTAGATTTACAGGACTCATCTTACCATCTTACCATATCTGTCTGTTAAATATGAAGCTGAAGCCTGAAGACACTCCAAATATTGATAATGCAACATGAGCATTTTTCTTGTTTTGGCCAACTGGTACACCTTTGCCTTTTTACACGCTAACATTAGCAGATAATATTACACAGTAGAGTTTAGCATAAACTTGAGTTTGTTTTCTTTGGTTCTCTGCTCTACATACTTCTCTGACATTCTTTGCCAGCTAACGTCAGAGCACAGTGCTGTTTGTTTAAATCAGACTCGCTAATGATTTTCACAGACATTTCCATGAGATGAATTCTCTTGGATGAAAAATAATCAACGCCATAACTGGCTGACAAAGTAAGATTTGTAACGATTTTACATGAGAGAGAGAAATATTGACACTTACTCTCCTTTCGCCATGAAAGCAAAGCATCCAAATACTTGAAAAAAATACTTGCTAATTTAGTAAATTTTTGTGCTGCATATTTTGGCAGCGTGCGAATGCCCTTTGTGTTTTGGTTTGGGATGGAGAGTTCGCTTTTCAATGCCCTGAACGTTCCACTGGTCTCAGAGTCAGATGGGTCTGCAGAGTCCAACGCAACGTTGTTGTTGGCAGGGAGGCGAGACTGGAGAGCGAGAGGGGAGAGCCGAGGAATGCTTTTGATGGAGGGCACTTAACAGCGGGACGCAGCGCTGGTGTACAGTGCTGCGTAAAGGTAGAGGTGTGTCTGCATGTATGTGTGCGTATGCACGCTGAGCTATGAAAGACTGCAGCGCCGAGAGACAACCGCGTCCTCAAGAGGTCTTCATTATTATCCAATCAGTAACTTTCTGTCTCTCTCGTGCTTCCAAATAAGCTCAGAGTTAATAAAACAGCCACAAGGTTTTATCCTTCCGCTACGTGCTTCAATGAGAATTTGTGTGTGTGCAACTCAAATTACCCAAATACCCGTAAGTTGGCTGTTTATGCAACACTTTCAGTGAAACCCTGTAATCCCCTGCTGTCCTGTTTTTGAATTCTCTTCACAAGCCTGAATCCTGTTATCACCTCAATACTCTCTAAATCGATTAGGACCAGTGGGGTTGCTCGTTGCGTGACGCCACACTGGCTGAACGACGTCATTTATTCATCAGGCCGCTGCTGCGACTCACAGATTTTACCCTGATTGTCTCTCCTTCACTTCCTGTAGTTCACTTACACACACTCTAACACACTCAGGCCTTTCTTTGGCCTGAGGCAACAGGCAGCCTGATGGGTAGACATTAAGTTGTCTTCTTCAGCTAGACACACACACACACACACACAAACACACAGATACACTTTCTCATTCTGACCCAGTCACTTCCACCCCAACAATAGGACAAATGCTGCTTTGCTCTGTCCTGACAGTTAACACTAGGCCTGAGGCTGGGGAGGATACACCGACACATCATCGAAGGGCTACATCACACACACACACACACACACACACACACACAC